CTAACGACCGGAGGAGTAACAGTACTTTCCAATTAGTAATGGTAAATTTAGGTGTTACTTAATTTATGTGGTACATATTGGAGTATAAGACATATCAGTAGCAGTAAGAAATGACCTTACAGCACTAAATTTGTTATTTTTCTTAAATGGGACACTCAACATATCACTTTACAGCTTCTACAGGAGCGTTCAACTAAAACACAAACCATAACTTGTAGTACAAAGCTTCAACTGGTTTAAATAATAAATTATTTGAATCTTTAGCATGCATTTCTACAATGTGTATTGGAATGTTAAGTAGTAAAGTTTATTGTTGAAAGAATTATATTTGTGAAATAATAACCTACTACACGTAGTAAACAAAATTTTGTATCTAAGTTACAGATTGAAATAACGATAGTTAAGATGAAAAACTACACTGATTATAATTATAGGCACCATCCTTTGTCCTTTTTACTAGTATTTAAATTTAGATTTTCTAAAGTTTTTGTTTTCAAAAATTGGCTTTTAATAGGAATTATGTTAATTAGTAAAGAAACTGTTATAATGATGAGTTAGAATACACATAATATGATTTTTGGGTTATTGTTATGTTTCGTTTTCAGATTGGTGTGGGCAGTTTCTTCTTGACTACCTTTCAGTTTGTAAGAACAGTACTGATACCCTAGAAAATGTCTTAAGTAGAATGGCAGAAAAGGTAGGTGACTCTAATACTTTTAAATTCAAAAATTTTTGGTTTATATTTCATTTCTAAACTTCAAACTTTTTATTACTTGTGTGAGGTCCTCTGGTGGGACAGTGGTAAGTTTACAGACGTACAATGCTAAAATCTGAGTTCAATTCCCTATAGTGGACACAGCAAATAGCCCAATGTGGCTTTGCTCTAAAATAACCAGCCAAACAACTTGTGTGACAATAGCAAGCAATCTTGAAGAAGCTATCTATAAGAGGAAACAATTAAATGAAAATAACAATAAACCACAGTTGATTAAATAAATTTTTGGTTACTATTTATAATTTTTTATTTGTTGGTTGACTTGTCCGTCAAGAACAATACACAGAACAATTGCAATTATCACTCAATTGCCACTACTTCAGTTAAACATTTAAAACTACACTGTCGGAAATGAAATACTGTTCTTATTACATTTGCTCAAAACAGTAATAGTTATTTGAAACTGTGGGGACTTGCATTCATGAGAATCATACATTTGTAGTGATTGATTACTGTATACCAAGATAGTAAAAATGAAGTTAAGGATATATTTTAGCCATTCTGTCCTCAGATATCATGGTTTAGAAACAACAACAAATCTATTTTTCTGTAGTTTTACTTGAACATCTTTGTCAAACAGTTTTTCAAAGGCAACATTTTCAGTTCACTATATTAACTTAAATTCACTGAATTCAAACAGTAGTTTAGTTAGCATATAACTGATTATTCCTGCATTTAACCAATGTACGTTTAAAAAAAAAAGTTTTATAAATGTTTATATTTTTATAGCTTACATAACCTGTTGATAGCCTAGAAATGAATTAAGATGTGTGTGTGATTATACTACTCTATGTGAGCTAAATATATGTATGCATAATTTTTTTATGACAGGATATGAAGATATCTCATAATACTGTTGATGTCATTCTAAACCGTATTAAAGATGGAGTTAATGATAACATAACTACAGTAAGTATTACTTCACCATCCTAGGTAAAGCCATCACTACAGTAAGTATTACTTCACCATCCTAGGTAAAGCCATCACTACAGTAAGTATTACTTCACCATCCTAGGTAAAGCCATCACTACAGTAAGTATTACTTCACCATCCTAGGTAAAGCCATCACTACAGTAAGTATTACTTCACCATCCTAGGTAAAGCCATCACTACAGTAAGTATTACTTCACCATCCTAGGTAAAGCCATCACTACAGTAAGTATTACTTCACCATCCTAGGTAAAGCTTATAAAAATATGAGAATTTTATATCTCTTTGCTGTAACATTGACACTCAATCCATGAATATGTTTAGTGTTAAGCATTCTTGTGAAAAATAGGAAAAAACACCTCTATTTGAATGCTTGTGTAGATTATAATGAAGTCATGTTACATTAACATGGGTTTACCTCTTGAATTTATTTTATATGCTGTCATAGTATATGAAATAAAAGGTTTCAAAACAAATATATCTTTTGTTTTTATACATTATTGTTTGATTAGTAAGATAGACAATTTCAATTTTCTGTGTGGAGAAAGTAATGGCCTGCAATAGATGTGATTAATTATGCAGAGAAGCATAAGACTGAAAAATGGAGTAATTAGGAAGTACTTTGTAAAACTGAAATACACCATCTAGGTATTAAAACATACTAGATGGTTGAAGGTGTACTTGTGATGTTTAGTTGTGTTTCTTTGGTGTGGTTTAGTAAACAGTAGAATTAGAATAAGAGAATACTTTTTTGAAAGTATATTTTTAATTTCTTACTCAATAGCTTCTAGAACAAATGGCTACATCCAGTTTACAAGGTGCTCCTGATGACATAGAATCCACTTCATTCGCTCACCCCGTAAGTTACAAAGACAAAGAAATTTCTCGGACAAAAAATTTTGAAGTTATGTATCAACTTAAAAATTTCTTAACCCTTTCCAACCTGATAACATCATTTCTGCAGCTTTGACATTTACATTCATAAGAATTAATAGAAATTTGGAAATAACTGAAATATGAACACACATAAAGCAGGATAATCATTGAATGTTTGGTAAATTCTTAACAAAATAAAAACAATTATGTGACATCACTATCTGTTACACAGCATGCCCATAACAATCGATTTGAATTCACAAGCAACAAAATGAGCCAGCCTGCTATTTATAAACTAATATATACAGTATTTATCTCAATACCTTTTATTTTTAAAAGTAATCTCTTAATCCTTTATGAAATGGTGTGAAACTGTTTCAGAAAACTTTTTCATCTCTAGCTTCATGTTGGGTTAATTTGGCATACCATTATCTTCAAATTGTAAACTGCAGATATTGTAAAACAAAAATGGAACTGCTAAAATACTATTTCAACAAGAAAAACAAGCAAGTGGGGGAACACAATAAAATTATCAATTTTAACTTGTATACATAAAACACAAAATCATGGTATAGTTAGAGTATTTGAAGATGTGTGATCACAAAATGCTCCTACCATATTAAACAAGTAAATCTTTAGAAATTTACAATCCATGTAAAGAGAAAAGGGAGCTCTAGGGCAAGTTGGTTGTCAGAAAGAAAATAGTCCCTGTTATCAAATGATATATTTATAATTTTGTTAGCTTTAGAAGTATATAAAGTGTAAAATACAAAATGGAGTTGTTATAAACAATTCTCTATTTTTGAACTATTTGAATTTTGCAGCTTTGTTTCATATGTTAAAGTTTTATCTATGTAGGCAGGAGTTTGAAATACTTGTATTCTAAAAATAAAAGTTACAATTGGTGGAGCAAAAATGATACTAGGGTTAGCAGTTTGGGATTATTTTTTAAATACTTTATCAAACACAAATATTAATGCAATATACACCAGGACAAGATCCTAAATATGAACACTTCAGTTATAGTATTGTAGCTGATCTGAGAAGAAAGATAAATTGGAATTTTTTAAAACTTGATGTCATTTGCCATTGCATAAAATGAGATGCCAGGCTGAAAAGGGTTAAAGCAGTAAATTAGTTGAATAAATTTTTTAAATAAGTAAATCTAAAATAATTTCTAATACATTACAATGCAAAATTCTAGTGTTAAAACTTTGTACTTTGAGAAAGATTAGTATTGCATTAAAATATTCAATTTTGCATGATTTCATTTATATATTTGTCAATATTAGAAATCTTTTAACATGTTTCACCCTGTTTTTTACTTTGTTTTATAATTATTTTATTAATTTTGTGAAAACACAACTTTGGCATTTACTGCTGATTTTAATTAATTGAAATAGGGCATCCTTTTCAACACTTCACAAGGTAACTTTCAGAAATTTAATTATATTATATTATTATCATGGTATATGAATAAAATTGACATCAAAACATTGATAATAATCCAAATGTTAATATTATTTAAGTTTTAAGTTCCTAGTTTTATAAAGTAATATTAAAACAAAATTCTCCCGGTATCCCATTTTCTCTAATTTATTTACTACCTCTCTAAGAAATATGAAATGTCATTTAAATTGCTCAATATAATGTTGTTATCACTCAGTCAAAGCATAACTTTTACAGCCTTCAGTCTTATAAACTAAAAAATCAGACCCCTCTTGCCATACCCACTGTCATGTCCTCTCTTTCTCAAAGTGCCAATAGTTCTCTACGATGTTTAACACTATTATTTATAATGAATAGAAAGTCAAGGTTGTAATATATCAAATAATTTATTATATGACATTGTTTTCTGTACAGAGAATTGTCTACTTCCCTTCCAATTCACACTATTCCCATGGGAAATGAATTGACTAGCTTAGTTGAATTCTAAATGGCTCTTGTTGCACAGTTAGAAAGCCAAAAAAATTGTGATAGTTATTTGACATTGTCTCCTTTTTGCATATTATTATTCTGTCTTCTTTGGTATATTATTTAATTAAATAAAAAATTATTTATTGCAGTAGTACCATTAGTATACAAAAGTAAGATTAAGTTTCATTGACAGTGGGCCACAAAAAAATGAAGACCCATGTAAGTACTTTATTTCTTGTTTTTCATGTGTATCCTTTCTTTATTATTATAAAAGTAACTAAAATATGAAAAAATAGAAACTTTTTAAGTTAGATAAGGTTAGATTATGTACAATAAACAATAATAATAATAATGATAATTTTTCACAAGGAATGTTCGTGAGTAGCCTGTGCATTATGTAATTCAATAGGGTAATGTGAGCTACACGTTCACCAAGTGATTTACAACTTGAATAATTGTAATATTAGTTAAACACAGTTCAAATAGCAATAAAAAATTAAATTTAAGTAGAAACAGATGTGTACTGTTACAAGTTGAAAGCTACATGTAGGTTCATGTTACAATATGAAGTTATTCTAGAGAAAAAAAAAGTAATTCAAATTTGTTTAGACTTTTATTTATTTTTTGACCAACCTCATATAAAGTTAGGGTAGAGAAGGTAACAGATAAAGTACTGAAAAAAATATGTTTAAAATTTATTTAGGAGGTTTTAGAGATTACGTAAATGAAATTTGAGATTTTTCACATGAGGAAAAGTATTTTCAATTTTAACATGAAAATCACTTTGCACTTGGAGCAGTCAACACTTTGACTCCATATATCCATGGAGAAATTTTTAGTGAAAATACTTCATTAAAAATTCTGTTATTTTTATATACAAAAGACTCAATGATTACCAAAAGCTTCCAAATTTCATAAAGATACATAAAACGTATTAGAAGATATAGTATGAAAACTATAAAGGCCAATTTGAGGTCGTGAACTCAGCCGATTTGACCGAGCCTATAGTAAGAATGTTAAACAAACATGTGACTGCTCAATTTGATAACTTAGGAATTTGAGTTGCTTTCAGAGAAACTAAAAGTGATATTCTTTACAATTTTAAAATTCCAGCCTTTTTGTTTATTAAGTCTCTCAACATGGCCTCAGTTGAATTGACTGATCACATTCCTGCTTTGTACTCGTTTAAAGTCATTATAGTTTTGATACTACTAAGTTTAATATATTATTTGCATCTTCTCAAAATTTGGTGGACTTTCAGTAAACATTCCAAGTCTTTTACAAAAATCAGATTTTTTAGTGAAGTAATTTTCGTGTTAAGATTAAAAATACTTTATTTCATGTCAGAAACCTCAAATTTCATTTGCATAATCTCTAAAACCTCCTAATACATTTGAAGGTTTTTTTCAGTAAAACCTTGTATTTTATCTGTTATTTTCTCTATTCTAACTCTATACAAGGTTGGCCAATTTGACTGACCTTATAACCACCAAAAAATAAATCTAAATTACCCTTTATTTATTTCTAGAATGACTTCCAATTGTAACATGGAATTACATTTGTTTATCCTAAGTAGCTTTACACTCATAACAGTATACATCTGTTAATACTTAAATTTTGTTTTATTGCCCTTTGAACCATGTCTAACTACTATTTGCACTATTATAAGTTGTAAATCACTTGAGGAACATGCAGCTTACATTATGCTATTGAATTACATTACCTACGATCTACTTTGAGCTGCTCATGTGCATGGCTCGTGATAAATTTGTTAATTTTTTTTTTTTTATTTGACCTATCTCACCTTAACTAACCTAAAGAGTTTCCTATTTTTACATTTTAGTTAGTTTTATAATAATAAATAAGGAATGCACATGAAAAACAAGAAATAAAATACCTACCAGGGCCTTTTTTGCTTACAAGTTCATCCAAGCTAGTCGATATGTTTCTCGTGGGAACGAATCTTATGCTAAAATAAAAATTGACAATTCTTTGCAAAGAAAGCAACATAATATAATATGTCATTTGATAGATGAAAACCTTGGTTTTCTATTAGTTATAAATGATATAGTATTAAATGTAAGAGAGAACAATTAACAAATCCCAAAAGGGAGGATGTGACAGGTGGGTGTGGAAAGAGGGGTCTGATTTTCTATTTGATGGCTCTGTAACCAAACAAGATTGAAGGCTAGGAAAATTATGCTTTGTCTAAGCTATGATGATATTAGAGTGAATAATTTATGTTAAATTTTATACTTATTGGAGGGGTAGTGAATTAATTAGCAAAGAGGGGATGCCTAGAGAAAAAATGTCACATTTCTCACACTAGTGAAAATTCAGGATTTTTTTTTAATATTGCCTTTTAAAATTTAGATCTTAGAACTTGTATACTATTGAAATATGGATTATTAGCTATGATTTTATGCTATACTAATTGATATAACATAAACAAAAAGTAGTTAATAAAATTTTGAATGTAACTCATTACAAACATTGACGTGTAGTAAAGGATGCCTGTGGTGGTAGAGTTAGTAAAAGTTTAACTTAAAGTCACTAGAAACTTTATTTTTAAAACTTGCAAACATTATTTTAGAGAGAAATGAATGTTGAAGAACTGGAGAATCACTTGTTGGAATTAAAGGTCAGTTTTTTATTTATAAACATTACATAAAACTTGAAAGTAACTTGTTCATATCTGTTCACCTCGTCTTTCCTGGAGATATAGTGAGTTGTGAATATTATGTGGTCTCTTTGGCACTACTACAGTGACTTATTTCAGTTGATATGGACTTAATAAAGAAAGCTTCCTCTTCCTTCTCTTCTTTATGATGGAGTTTCATTTTGGTGTGATTATGCATGAAATGTGTGTGTGTGTGATTTTTTTTCATGTAATAATATATCAAGAATATTAAAAAGGACCACCAGTTTTGAAATACTGTATTTGTTAATATATTTAGTTAGTAGTTTTTGTTGAAAGTGCTCTCAGAGCTTACACTGCTTTTCAGCCATCCCAATTAAATATAATACATAATACTTTTTAACAAAATCAAAATGCTTATACAATAGATACATCCCAGTAAAAATATATTAACAAAAATATGCATGAATTCTATAATATTTCAAATTTGTTAACAGTATAATATTATAAATAAAATATATATAATTATTTAATGCTCATAAAAATAATGTAAATATAACTAAATACTTATGAAATTCACAAGTTATTTACATAAAATTCAAATAATTTCCAAATTTTTTTATGAGATAACTTTCATGTAATAATTTTTTTTGTTGATTACCACAAGATCAACATGGAAAATGGAAAAAGAAAGGTTCTTAAGATGGGTACAATTGTAAAAATGTTCAGAGCATCTTAATAGACTCTGACTTTGGTTTATAACATGAAACTGGTGTTGATTCATTTTGTACCTTAAATTTTCAATATGGCCAATGTAATGTTCACAACAGACTATACATTTTAACATATAGATACAATTCTTAGAATTGCAAGAAAAATGATATTTTGATTTTAAACATAATGGTTTTATCTATGTTTTTGATAATATTGGTGTTAATAATATAACCTAGATTACAGAGTTGACATCTTAGTTTATTACACTGAGTGATACCTTGTCTTTTTATGGATTTGAAATAACATAAAATTCATTTATATTTCTGTTGTTAATATAGTTTTACAGAGATGTATTTATTGTATGAACATTTTGGTTTTGCTAAAAGGTATTAATATATTGTATTTAATTAGTTTGACTGAAGAGCAGTGTAAGCTGCAAAAGTGCTTCCAACCAACTAAAGATATTAAAAAATACAGTATTTTGAACCTAGTGGTCCTTTTAATAGTTGATATATATATATATATGTGTATGTGTGTGTGTGTTTGTTAGATTAGCTGTAGTTAAAATAAAATCAAGATTTAAACTTAATGTCAGTAGCTTGTGCTTTAAAATATGATGAATCTCCTGTTTCTAATTGTTGAAAAAACATTTTTTGACCCTTTATCATTCACAGAAGGTTTTTTTTTCTATTACCATAATTGGAGAAAATGTATGGGTGGAAATTATGTCTACATACATAAATATATGGGTGGAGATGATAAAGGGTTAACCCAAAGAAAAATTCTATTTTAAATGTTTTGAAATTGAGTAATTATTAATTTTATGTATATATACATTAATTTTGTTCATGATGATTATTTTAGCTCACATTTAAATAAATTTCATATACATAAATCTCATGTCAACAATGTCAAGAATGCAAATAATAGCCCATTACCTGTTAACAAACACATTAATAAGTGTATTATGGAAAAATGTCATACTTTACAAGAACCCTTTTACCAAATATTTCCATTGTGGTATTCTTGTGAAAAGAATGAGATTATTTTATGAAAATTGTTTTATCAATAAATTTAAAACCAAATTAAATGTTACATATTTTAACATACAGAGGGATGTAAAACATGTATAAAGTTTTAAAGTAAAAAAAAATGCAGGAAGTTTTACATTGTTGAGTAGGTCTTGTTAGAGAGAGAGAGTATTATTTTAAAAACTGAAGAGTAACCTATAAGATATGAAACTGGTATTTAAACTTTTATGTATGTATGTATGTTTGTTTTATTTGTTTTGAACTAATAGTAATAGAGTTTTTTAAATATTTCTAAGGCTATTTTTTTATTGTATCATTTATATTCTATTGTTGTACTACATACTTGCCAACTTTTCAAAATTCTTATGGGTGAGATTTTGTGTGACTCATGGTAAATCAAGCAATTTACAAGCACAATTATGCTTGGCTAAGAATGAAAAATACATCTTATTTCATTGGCCAAGAAGAAAGTGAAGCCCAATTTCCAGTATGAATCATGTGTTTATTCAACTGGTTTCACTATAGAGCAAACGATTGGCTAACGATTACCAAGAAATTTTTAATTTACAAAAAAGTTAATTATAGTTACGCAAGTCCGTAGATTTCCTGAAAAAATCAGTGCACATGCCTAAAATCGGTAGAAATGAAAAATTTTTTAATACCGGATCAGTAGATCAGGTCAGAGGTCCAAATTTGAGAAACTCTCACCCAAATCGTAAGAGTTGACTAGTATGGTACTGTCATAATCATTATTTTTTATACTTGAGTTGGTTTTATGTTTTTTTTCACAATTCAAGAAACACATTAAAACAAGGTACAGTTTTATGTCATTCGGAACTTGTTGGATAAGAATGTTTATTGTGCTATTTCTGATGTGTAGTCTTGACACTAATATTTGTTTACATGAGACTACAACTAACAGTAGAATTGTATATGAAGATGATGTATTATAACCAAACTCATGAAATAGCATTGGAATGAAGGTTAGCATTGTCAATTGCCAACAGTGGACAAAATATTGGCCATTCAGTTTCAATCCTGCATATTATCGAGAGTATATTGATGATAATTTTGTCATGTTTGATGATCTATAAGGTGTTCATGACTTTTGGAAGTAGAATATCAGCATGAACATCAATCTACTTTGCTTGATGCATTACACGCAACACATCAACAAGAATGCCAACCCATTTTTCTTGAAACATTGTATATAACATAACATAAGGGACAGCAAGGAACCTGTCCTAAGCTGTCCTATTCACTAAATTAAACTAAACCCCTAAAAAAAAGAAACTCAAACCAAATATTTTTCAAGCTTTCCCTTAAACTAACTGCATCCACAACGTGCCAAAGCAGCCTGTTCCAGAGGCCAATAAATGTACCTTAGATAAAGATGACTTCTTTCCTGCCAAAATTTATATTTGTTTCCCCTAGTCTTACCATTCTCACTATTAAATATGAAAAAAGATGATGCATCAAAACTCAATTCCTTTAACAATCTTAAACATCTGAATCAGATCTCCTCTAACTCTTCTTTTTTCAGGAGAAAATAAGTTCAGAAATCTTAACCTATTCATATATGATAACCTGTCCATCCTAAGTATAATCCTAGTAGCCCTCCTCTGAACCCTTTCCAACAGTTCAGTGTCCTTTCTGAGGTAAGGAACCCAAGACTGAACACAACATTTCACATGTGGCCTAAACAGTGACCTATACAATAAAACTATAACCTCTTCAGACTTGTATTTAATATTTCTGTTGGTACAACCTAAAATTCTACTTGCCCTGCCATTAAAAATGGTACATTGCTTGGATAGCTTAAGAGAGTGATCAACCAAAACAACAAGATTTTTTTCCATGACACTGTTAAAGTTATTCCCATAAATATTATACTTATAATTCAAATTGTGACATCTCATATGCATTACCTTGCCTTTATTATAATTGAAAGCCATCTGCCATTTATTTGTCCAACTCACCAAATAATTCAAATTCTTTTGTAAAGCAGTAGCATCCTCCCTACAGCCAGCAATACCTAAAAGCTTAATGTTAATAGCAAATTTATATAATCTATTGACCATTCCTTCATCTATGTCATTTATGTAAATCAAAAAGAACAAAGGTCCTAAGACTTAGCCCTGAGATAATATGGAATGTTCCCAGCCGATCTTGGCCAATAATACTTCATTATACCAACAAGCACATTCCCCTCAGTGGACATAGCAGATATCTCGATGTAGCTTTGCTATAAAAAAAACACACACCAGCAAGCATATAGTACAAGTGAAAAATCAGTTTTAAAAGCTGCTTATTCTCATAC